TGCAGCCTCAAAAGAAGAGGTGCCACAGAGTAATGGAGACAGGGAGTGGTGAATGCCCAAAGTTGGCAGTGCCAATCAACTATCGGGTCAAGCAGAAGCAGCACTGCAAGACCAGAAGACCCAGCTGCCATCCACAGCCCATTGTCCCGTGAGTATTAGGGACAGTGCCTGCCTGTTCAGTGACACCCATAACCTGCAAATCCACTAGACACATCCACCAAGACATCAAGTGAGAAAACAGAACTCCCATCTAGCAGCATATTCTGTCAGGAAGAGAGTAGAAAAACTCTCTTTCAAAGCAGAGCTTATCACTGGCAAAACAATACATCTTTCCCTCTTGTAGTTCACCTTTGAATTGCAGGTATATAAAAGCAATCATGACATCCTACCCTCTCACCTGCTGTCTATCCCTCGCTCCTGGGCAGCTGCACCATGCCAGAATTTGCTCATTTCTAAACCAACCCAAAGTCATCTTTATGGTTCCACTCACTGGCGCACTTGGCACAGAGGAAGGCACTGCTGTTTTATTAATAGCTTCATGCTGGCCCAGCTCTTATCCTGTGCAGAGTTTCCACAGCATCATTACAATGCATTTTTCACTATTTCCCCTCCTCCTTCCCCACATGCCACTCAAAGAGAGCAGATGCCTGTCTTCCACCTAGCTGTTCCTGCTCCTCAATGTCACCTTGCTCAAGGCATCATTCTTCCTCCTCTCTCCCTGTCTCCTTCCTCACCCTCTGTGACAGAGTCCCACAACAGCCAGAACAGTTGCCCTCCGTGGCACCAAGTCCACAGACAGCCTCTCAGGAGTCTCACTTTGAGAGCAAGCTCTCTGTAAGAAGTGTAACACCAGCCACAGGGTATTTGGAGCAGAGTTGGAAGGGGAGCACAGTTATTTTAAGTCCAAATGTTCAGTTACTGCACAATGATCCTTCTTTCTTTCTTCTTCAAAAGACACAGGACAAAATTCTAGCTTTGGGCCGACTGTGTGACCTACTCACTAATGGTGACACTGCTGTGCAAGTGACCCCTCAAAGGCAGAAGTCTGTCAGTAGATATGGACCATGCTGGCAGCATTCAACTTTGGTATTAACATGGGCACGGCAGTAAGTGGTTGGTGTCCAGGATTAATGGTTAACAAGGAACAGGATAAAAAAAATGAGCAACATGCCAACACACACTTTTGTTTTCAATCTTCTCTTTTACATCCATCATTTCATGGCATCCAGGTAAAAGGTTTCTCCAGTGTGATTAAAACACTGTTTCATGGGACCCAAACGAGCTTTTAACTGAGTGAGTCTGGAGCATCAGGTATGCAGATATCCACCAGGTCTTGGCTGACACACTGGTCTTTCTAGGATTCCTTTCAAGTGGCTTACAGAGACCCTCCCACAGCATCCATCAGTTTGGCCAGCCCTCTGCCAAACCCATCAGGTGCACTGCTCCGAGCATGGTCACAGGATCTGCTCAGTGGTTTTCAGCACCTTTAACAGAGGTGACTTCCACAAGCTGCACTGATTGCACTGAACTCTCCTGCTCACAAGAGCTACCAGTTCACTCTAAGGAAGAGCAAACATGTGCTGCACTAACTTCCATCTTCACAGTGAGCCACAGGAACAGAGAAGAGTCCTGTGTCTTACAGGGACAGGATGGATTAAAGGCTTTGGACTACAAACCAAAGTAATCACAGGTACCAACAGGCAGCTGCTGACTGGAAGGATTTGTTCATCCACACTTCAACCTGAACAGCAGTATTAAGAATGGATGCGCTAGATAGGACTAACAGTACTTACAGCCCAAGAGGCTACACCAACCTCCTAGAGACCACACCTTCTTCCACTTGCAATTTCCCACTGCCAGTGAATGATCTCCTGCACCATGTCACAAAAATCCATGGTTTAAAAAGGCATCAAGAAATGGAGAATCAATCATTTCCCTGAATAACTTCCAGTAGTCAATCACAGAAAAACCCAAACCAAAAAACCCACACTGAGGCATTTCATTTCAGTCCGTGTGGACTTATTTTTGCAGCCATCTATTTGTATTATGCATGTCTCTCACTATGTCAAATTTTTCCTCTAAGAGAATAATTGAGAATAGTCCCCTTTTAGCCTCTTTTCAGTAAGCGAAACAGATGGATTTTGCTTCATCTTCAGTTTCCAAAATGTTTCAGTAGCTCCGGTCTCGATCATTTTCTCAGTTTTTAAACTAAAGTCAGTATTTCGAGGTTCATTTTCCTGAATGTTACTGGGTACAGATGGAGCAAACTGTACCAGTGACTACCTCACTCTTTACATCCACATCATCCCCTGGGCCAAGCAGGACACCGTGAACTTTTGCTGAATTACCTGCCCACTGTATCCCCAATATTGCTCTCTAAGCCATTTCTTTCCAAACATCAGACTTGATGTAGAAGGCCAGAGCTTTCAGTACTGAGATTCATAACCTTGCAGTTGGGTCATTAAGAGCCCATTGCATTGGCAGCAGTCCAAGTCAGGAAAAGACCCAAAGCACTCTACAAGACTGCTGGTAGCATTAATTTTATTTACCACCCTGTCAGTCTATGGGTCATCAACAATTTCATACCAATTCCCACATCACTGATGGAAATGTTGATCATCACCAGTCCTCTCACACATCCCCACAGACCCCATTTAATTAGGATTCACTATCAATGATGCCAAGACTTGTCAGTGAATTCAAGAGTCACTGAAGAGACCTCCTGTCCCCTGATGTTCTTTCATCATAAACCATAAAGCAGATTAGGGAACTCTGCATGTACTACATTTAATAAGTGCTCTACAGCCATTGCAGAGCACTGGTGTTTTGGAGGACGTTCTCATCTTTAGAAAGGAAGGGGGACTGATTCAGGCTCTCATGCAATCAGTGCCTAACAGCTGCCTTGAATACATTAGAACAATAAACTTATTTCTACCAATCAATCCATTTCCAAAAACCAAAAGCATCTACCTTCAGCAGAATTTGGTTTTCATGGTTCATTTTTAAGTAATGCCAGACAGAGACAGGAATAACTGATACCTTTCAGCAGGATCAGCTCAAATTGACTCAAAACAAAGCAATGACCAACCAGCTCCCTTTTCTCTCATTCCCTGCAGAGCTGCCCTTTCCCCATCTGCTGGAGACTTCCTACCACCTAAGGTCCTCTCAGCCACCTCTCCCAATATTTCTTTGGGTTTCTTACTACTCTACTAGAGAATAATTTCACAACTTCATCCACTCTGTATCAATCAGGCATCTGTGAGGTATTTTGTGTGTCAGGTATGGTGCAACAGCCTCACACTTTACTTCCTCAAACTCCCCATGAAATATTTATTCTTTTTTTTCTGTACCTGTTTTGGAAGGTGAAATAACTGATGACCCTACACTCCTACTGAAATTTTGAGTATTTTGAGAAATTTCTTCTTGCCTTCTTATATTCATATTGTTTTCCCCAACTTGTTTGCTGTACCAACATCAACCTGCCACTTTATTCATCAATATCATACAACTTTTTAAATTACCTCTTAGGTTCATGACATCTTAGCAGATATTACATCTTTTATACGCTCTGTAATATGAGCATATTTTTGCCAATTGTCACAAAATTCTCAGTCACAGATAATTTTACTCATTTCCACATATCTTCCCTCCCTTCCTCCTCCCTTCTCTCTGCCCTCTTCAAGAAACCTGTTTCCTATCAGGCAGGAGTTAAATGTTCCAAAGGTGAGCTGAGATTCAAAAGACACTCAGATTTGAGAGGTATCTACAGGAATCCTCTGTGTCACAGACAGCCCATGAACAGTCATTCCTTTTCGGTGGCAGAAGCAATTTCTTGCTCTTATACCTTTTAAGAGGTTTCTAGCTGTAGGTAACTGTCAAACACACTCCTCACCTCATCAGTCTTATTTAGTTCAACCTGCAACAGCCAGCAGGGAGCAGACAAGACGCTACTGGTAGGAGAGAAGGCAGACATGATCCTTGCAAAGCCCTTTTTATCTGTAGATCACAGTACCATCATCCTTCTGTAATTTAAGGGGCAACTTGCTCAGTGGAACAAATGCCCCAGGGCAGAGCACAGGCCTTTCATGGCAGAGCCAGTTTGTGCACAGTCTCTGCTGCCTTAATTTGCAAATGCCGCTACAGCCTCACAAGTGCCTTGTGATGCACGCTAACCCTTGGGTCTAAGGGGAAAAACAGGTATCGAGTTAATAGTGCCGCCACAAAAACTGCAGAGGAACAGGAATGCAAGATACTCATTCTTGGTCCCAGAATCAGAAAAGATTAAAAAAAAAAAAAAAGGCACAAAGTCAAAAATAGCTCTTTTCAGCTCCCTCCCCCAAAAGCACTTAGGTTTAGTTACTGCATTCAAACAGCAGCCCTTTAATCAAGGAGTCCTACTTATTCATGAGGGGAACTGTAGCTAGACAAACCTTTCAAACACTAGTTCTGCCATCTGGCAGCAGCACTGAGACTTGTTCCCAGACACACACAGAGTGCTGTTAATTGCCCTCACGTGGAATTCCAAGGCACTGCAATTGTTCTGGCATTTAAAACCTCCACGGGCTCCAGATGTGGATTTTATTTGTGTCTTTGTGGAGAAAAAGGTACTACTAATTATCAAATGTTGCATGTCCCCCTCCCAATACTTTTCATTTTGCTCTTCTCAGCTATTTCTGTTGCCTTCTACAGCACCAACAGCAAAAAAAGCAGATCGTGTAGGCCCACGGATAAGTACCTTAAAGAATTCATACCAGGGAAGAAGGCATGCCACACTTCTCTTGATTTCCCTGCCCCTGTGGATTTGATGCTCTGAGCAGCTGCCCCGTAGGGAAGAAAGATGATCTGGGGGATTTCTTTGTTGGCTTTTCTTTTTTAAAATTAATTTCTAATCATAATGGAAAGGTCACAGACATAACCTCTCTACCAAAAGTGGCAACTTTGCATTCCTGAAGTGATATGTGTAAGGAAAAAGGGGAATAAAAGTATTTGAAGAGACTTACATTTTGCTTCAGACAGATTCTGGTTAGGTGACCAGACCAGCATGCCAAGATTTTCTCTCTCCTGACTTCTCCTTGCAAGTTTGGCTTAAGAGAAAACAGATACAAACCAAGTTACAGAGAAAGTAATTTCAAATGCAAAATGGATACAAAAGCGACTTATCACACATCTGCAGCTTTTAATCAAGATACAAAACCCATCCACAGAGTTAAAACCTCATCTCCCCATTCCGACCTGAGGCTTTTCCTTGTTTTTTCAATGCATCACCCTCTATATAACATGACAGATACCACACACTCACTCTTTCCTGCAGTGCACTAAGCAGCATACGTTAGATCTAAATTAAAAGTTAATTAATGTTTCTCTTCCAGCATACTTGATTATTTTTCTTCCAGCAATCGTTAAATGAAAAAGAGAGGAGCTAGGCTCAGGCAGCAGGCTCCAAACCCTGGACATCATGAGACTATTCTGTACAGCTACAGAACCACAGAATATGCTGAGCTGCAAGGGATTCACAAGGATCACTGAGGCCCTGCAAAGGACCACCCCCAAGGGTCATACCATGTGCCCAAACTTCTTGAACTCTGTCAGGCTTGGTGCTGTGACCACTTCCCTGGGGAGCCTGTTCCAGTGCCCAACCACCTTCTGGGTAAAGAACCTCTTTCTTAGATCCAACCTAAACCTCCCCTGACACAACGTCAGGCCGTTCCCTCAAGTCACTGATCACCGCAGAGAAGAGATCAGTGCCTGCCCCTTCTCTTCTCATCACGAGGAAATTGTAGGCTGCAATGAGGTCTCCCCTCAGCTTCCTCTTCTCCAGGTTGAACAGACCAAGTGACCTCAGCCCCTCCCCTCATAAAGCTTCCCCTCAAGGCCCTTCACCATCTTCACTGCCCTCCTTTGGACACTCTCTAATAACTTACACTTCAGGGCACACACATGCACAAACCTCTCAGATTTCACTTCTGAGCACCTCCTGCCCTGCCCCACCAGCCCTCCTACACCTCCATCTCCCATACAGTCAGGAATGCCCACCAAGGTGACACTGAGCCCCCCCAAGTCAAAATGGTCCTCTTCTCAACTACTCCGGAGGAACCTGTGTGCACTCACACCCACACTGCGTACACACACCCACACTCAGAAAGCAAGTCTGTTTTTTAACCAGCTAAACATCTGGCTGACATGAGAGCTCTAAAAGTCTCAATCCACAGCTGCATAGTTTCAAAAAGCAAGCTCAAACTAAGGTACGTTTCATGAGTGAGCTCTTGTGAATCTGCTGATGTTTGGTCACAAGCAGTCAAAAAGAGGAGGAGGAGGAAGAAGAGGATGAGAAGAGAAAGAAACTCGCTCTGTTGAGTCAGCACAGCCAGCTCAACCACCCGCCCTGGCAGGGAGAAACTTGCAGGTCTTGTTATGAATGAGTGCCTACAGTAGTACTTCCACTACAAAACATCACATAACGCTCAAGTTTTATGCAATATTTCAACACAATTTTCTCTGCGCTGTGCAATTAGGCATATAACCACCACTTCATGATACATTAAAACAGGTCAGAAAAGACCTAGTAACACAAAATTACATTACAGTGCTACAAACAGTCATGGCTTGACTACTGTTTTTAACCTGAAATCTGCTCAACTAAGAACAGTCGCGGTTCAGATGACAATAATATTTTAATATTAAATTTAAAGTACAAATAGAATGTACTAAAAACAATCAGCAGTCAGCAACATATTTACACTGAACTAACAGGTTTTTTCATGACAAACACCATGATTATCTTTCACAGTTTGTTGGGGTTTTTTTAAATAAGGTTAGCAACTGCACATACAAGATATTTTGCATGCTTTGCACGTTCATTACTTTCTACACTAGGCAAAAGAGGGGTGAGACAAGAGCCTCTGGTGGCACGAGATGGGAGGTGGACATCAGGTCTGTACACAGAACACGAAGGGTGTCTGAAATTAAAATTACAAGTCTTGAAACACAGGGCATTAAATTTTACTTTCTCTCTCATTTCACGTCTCAGGAATGTAAAGAGAGGCAACCTTAAACCTCCCCTTTTGTCAGACTTTGCTACTCTATCTCCCTATCCAAAATGGCCTGTCCTACTGGAGTCTAGCATAGGGTTCAAAGCACAGAAAGGTAAAAAGTCTCTCTCCTCACTTAGGACTGCACTGAAAAGCAAACTCTCATTCCCTAAAAACACTCAAAGAGAGAAATGAATCAGTCAGGTCTACAGGAATTTAAACACTTTCCACCCAAATCCCAATGCCCCTCCAGTAACCCACTGCAGCTCACTCAGGAGCCTGATGCCCAAACTCTGCCAGGGAGGTGTAACATTAGGCAATGTCAGCCAGGCTCTACCAGAGTCTCACTCGCTGAACTGGGAAACCCACTTAACTCAGGAAAAGGAAGAAGTTTTCCCCTAGTTTCACAGGGTGAGCCTCCTCTCCTCTCTGACAGTCAGGCACACGTCCCAGCCAGGCTGTCGCTGTCAGGAGCAGAGCGCCGCTAACTCAGCTCACCCACAGTAAGATGGGTGAAGTTTCACCTCCCACGGTTAAAACCCCAAGTTACGCTTTGAGGTACTTCAGAGGGAGCGCCACAGCCTTCCTGGCTGTGACCTGCAGACAGCCCTGGGAGGTGACAACCAGTGCAGGAACTGCAGGACCTCACGGCACCCGTGGGGTTGGTGAAATGTGTTCCTTGTCTTCCATCTCAGCTCCCCGACGTGCACCCAGGACCTCCCCTTGCAAAGAAAATGCCTTGGGTTAGGAGCTGCCTCCTTCCAGCCACACATCCCCTCCATGGGCCTCATACCCAGAATGGGTAGATGCCAGGCTTCACGCCACCCTCAGGACCCCCTTCTGCCCAGTTCTCACAGCCCAGCTTCTTCCTCTCTGCCTCCCTCCCCAGCCCCTTGGTAGCGACAACCAGCCAAGTTATGCTGCACTTGCGAATGGGTGTGAAGCAGCACCTTCAGTATTCCCAAAATGTTATCTCCTGCTGTTTCTCCACCCAAGCCCACACCTATCCACGCTCAGGCCTCGTTCCTTGACAGATGTAGACACCAGTGCAAAGCACACAGTAGGGTTAGGTCAAAACTCATGCTTCTCTGCAAAGGACAGAAGCATCTAAAGGCCAACACACATGGAAGGTTGGGGGATGGGCATGTTCCTTTAACATCCACAGAGGCTGAGATTCCCTCCCTAACATCCGAGATGCTGGCCACTCAACTCCTTCACTTTCTAGCACCACATCCTCCCTAACACCCCTTCTCAAGCCCACAGCCCCCACATATACCGTCCCTCACACACAAGGCAGACAGGACAGCCATTCTGCCAAGTCCAGTGTCAACCCAATCATAAATACATACAGCATAAGCCCTCTTCCTACATGATGTACCAAGGAAAAGCTTTGGAGCTTGCTCAGAATTCGGAAGCACATTGGAATGATTGCTTCAGAGCAACAGCCATGAGAGCAGAAGATGGGCCTTAGAGCAGAGTGGCTGTTACATCCCTTTCCTGCACCATTCCAAGCACAGCTGCAAGGTTCACCATCACAGGGGAATTTCTTCCCCTTACCCCTGTTTCTGGACAAAGAATTCACCAGGGTGAATACTAACACTCTGCACTTCACTGACAAAGCTGAAAAGATAATTCGATTTAATTTGTTATATATTTCATATAAAAACAGACGTAACATGGGCAATGGTTGGTCTTTTTTTAGGGGAACAGATCAATTTAGGATCAATGGGATTTGCTTGTTTAAGCAACTGCAGTTAAACCAGTACAACCTGGTTTAAAGAAGAGTAACCAGTGTTCAGAGAAGCTGTACACTTGCAAACAAGATGACCTGACATTTCAGGTAATCCTGCACTTTCATCTAGGCTACCCACCAGATATTTGTAAAGTCTCTGCCACAGCCATTAGTTCCTATCACGGCTGTTGTGGGAGGAAACACTCTGATCACTTTCCCACTGCCAGCTTTTCCATTCGTCCCAAGTCTGTCAGGACTCACAGACACTTCCTCCATCCCCAAGAGAAAGACCTTCTGCTACAAGCAGCACCCCCTAAATTTTGTTTCACTGTCAGACTTCACATGGGATGCAAACTCCCACTGCTTCTACCCAAACAGAAAAGCGCAGCCCCAACCAGGCACAGTATCATGTTGCTTTTTCTACAGCTGTTCCCATCCCTTTCTCTTCTCTCACCTCTAGAATATACCTCTGCTCCACAGACTATACACTAAAACACAGGAGAGAATCGATCCAGTTTGAAACTCACTTTGTAAAGAAAATGCTATTTTTTTTACAGTGGTTTACTGCAAAAGCCCAAATAGTTCTACCATGGAAGGGAGGAGAGGTGAGGCAGGGCAGAACATCCATATAGCAGTAACATTCTAAAAGTTGTGGGTTTCCCCCTGCCCCCGAAGCTGTGAGGACACATCAACACCAGTGTGTAGAAATACATTCACTTGCACAGGAGAGAAACAACACCATCACTGAAGATCCTATCACTTTTGCCCATAGGCCAAGGTTCTCTATCCCTGGGGGCTCCATGAGCTAAGGGACAGGGCCTGGCACGTGCAAATCAGCATCTTGCAGGATGTGAAACCCTGATCCACAGCAGCCAAGGCTCTTCCCCAGCTTTTGGAAAGCTGTTACAAGACTGCCCCACAGAAAAACAAGAGAGAGGTTCCAACCAGCAGAAGCAGTCAGTTCAGACACCAACTGACATTAGGTTGATTAATAAAAAAAAAAAAAAAAGAAAAACAGTATCTTGTGTCTTCAAAATATGTGTTTTCCCTGCTGTGAAGGTTACTACATAGGGCAGTCTCACACTCTTTAGTATCTGTCTGTCCAATTTTCACTTGCATACACAAAGATGTCAGTCCTGCTCTCCCACTACCACCCACAAAGTTTAAAGCCTCAGGGGTAAATCCACCTCAGACCCCACACCTGAGTGATCTCAGCTCACAAAGGAAAAGAACAAAGTGAAAGCAAAATGATTTTTTGTCAATACCAAAAAACCACACCAAAACCCAAAATCCCCAATCAAAAAAAACAACAAATCCAGAATCA